TGATACAGTTTTATAATTGCATAAAATTGCACTATTCATCTCGGTAGAATTTCTAATGAGCTGTAAGTAAACAAATATGTTTGAGAATTGTGATAGAGATCTTTTCATGTTACACCAACATTTTGCATTTTTAATTGCATGGATAGATTTTATATCTGAGATAGCAGAAATTAGCCCACCACCCATGATCCAGATGTTTTTTATCAATTAATTTCTGAAGTTGATTCTTTGCAGATGTTTAAAGCCTTCTATGAATAATTTGGGGATGTACTGAGCAGGGGCTTTGTACCTTTCTTGCTCTTTCGCTTCATAAAATCAAGTGCATAAGTAGATTTGCAGAAAAGTATCTGAAGTGATAGCACTGCAGGCAGTGGCAGTAAGAGGGAGGAGACATCTAGGACCGGCCTTGGGGCTGCGGTTGCTGTTGGCGACTACATGGTAAGTGCCATCTGCATTTGGGGCAGCATTTTACTCCAAGGCCCCAGCTCTTGTGACTTTCCTGCTTCAGCTGGATACTAACGGAGGAGAACACTATCAGAGCGAAGTGCGATTTGACAACAAGAAACTAGGTGCAGGAGCCTCCTGAAACTTGTGTATGAAACTTGGGAAGCTTCCCTCAAACCGCGATTTGGATTACAGATCAAATACGTTCTTTTAAACATATTTGGTGCTCAGTCCTAAAGCTTTTGAGAATATGGCTGAAGAACTAAGCATCTGCAAATAAAATACAATGTAGAAGGGTGCCTGTGTGGCTCGGTCGGTTAAGCACCAGACTCTTGGTTTCTGCTCAGGTCATGATCTCACGATCGGTGGGATCAAGTCCCGCGATGGGCTCAGGCTTATAGCATGGAGCCTGCTTGGGATTCTCTCTCTCCCTCGCTCTCTCTGCCCCTCCCCTGCTTTCACATGCAAATAAACTAAAAAAAAAAAAAAGCATAGAATTCCTGAGTGAAAGTAGGAGCACATGTAAATTTTGCTTAAGAGACTGTTGAGAACTGAGAGCAAACTGAGGGTTGATGGGGGGTGGGAGGGAGGAGAGGGTGGGTGATGGGTATTGAGGAGGGCACCTTTTGGGATGAGCACTGGGTGTTGTATGGAAACCAATTTGACAATAAATTTCATATATAAATAAAAAAAAAAAAAACTTGCTCTGGCTTTTGTTATCATGTGCAATGAAATATACAGAACCTAGAAAGCATTTTTTGGTTTTCTAGCAAGTGAACTTCTTCTAATTAAAAGTGGATATGTATCACAGTTCATAAATATCTAAGGAGAGGCAATCTAACACACCCTTCTTAGTACATGTCCACCTACGTTCATCGGTTATTACCTTTCATGAAATGCTTTGCAACAGACTGAGAGTTAGGTATGCAAATGCTAGCTCTTGTGATCATTGGTCCAGATCTTAAATCTCTGTGTTTAAAATTAAGGAGATTAATCAGGGGAGAAGATGCTATCTCTTGAGTGTTATGTGTTCTTTGTAAAGAATGATAGAAAACTACCAAGCAAAGAGATGTTCCAAGTCTCTGAGAGATTGCCTGTTGTCAGATTCCCTAGTGTTTTTGTCTTACCAAGCTTTCCTTTTAATAGAAATGCTATTCATAATTGTAAAAGAATGCACAGCATTAACCTTTGTAGCTTTCTTTATGGACTGACTCAGGATACATGGGTGACATGCACAAAGATTTGCATTAGTGAAGATGACACAGAAAGCCTTGCTGAAGATGTGTGTGCATTTGATAGTTGGAGAACCTTTTGTTGTTTTATGTTCTTCTAGAGAAATGAATCAAACTGCTTGAAAAACTAGTATGTAAATGTAATGTTTCAGAAATCCATGAAATAAAATACTGCAATTTCTAAGTAATACTGTTTGATACAGACCTTGAGAAGAGAGCAAGTCCTCGGGTTTCCATTCAAAGTGTGGCAGTTACTGACAGATCTGATCTTAAGACAGTTGCACAGCAGGGGCCTCAATTTTAGAATTATTTTGAATCTCTGGCAGAGATGCAAAATAAATTACCATCAAGATGAACAATTCATTAATTTGAAGGTTAATTTTAAAAACGTGTATGTAGAGATGACTTTTTACGGCAGTCATATCGGATTGATATTCCTTGTATTGGTATGTATGGAAAACTTTCTGAAGATTTTGTACAACAGGAATTGTGCTTATAAGCTCAGTCATGTAGTCTTGATCTGCCTTGATGTGGATTGTGAGTCATACTTTTTCTTCAGTTTTGCTTTTCATACACTTAAGCCCTCATTACATCTCGTTTTCAGACTGTCTCAACTAAGAGTTGTGAGAATAGTCAGGGCATGGATGCCACGTCCTTACTTTCTGTAGCGGGACTGGTAGACGTTGACTAATGTGTTGTGTGTAAAAAGGGGAGAACATTGGACATTGGAACTCTCGTAGAATCTGCAAGGCAAGTTGCCATCATTACTGGGGAGAGTGACAGCTTGAATGTGGCAGATAAACAACCAATGTGTTGAGTGTCCAAATTGTTATGACAAATGGTTTTCCTTTTTTCAACATGATCCCTTTGAGTTCCAAAAAATTAGACATTAACATTTACAAAATGTTAATGTCTAATTATATATATATAAAATGTTAATGTCTATTATATATATGTCCAGTATATATATGTGATATATATATGTCTAATATATATGTATATATGTATGTGTGTGTGTGTGTGTGTGTGTGTGTGTGTGTGTGTGTATTTCCCCCTTGCCCCTTTGCCAAGGCATGACCAATAGCTGCCAGAGGAGAGTGCATGCACATACCGAGTGTCCAAGGTACACCCCAAAACATCTTTCCCACCTAGGGAGTTTTTGTCTCCTGTTTCATCTTAAACCTCATGGACAGTTTACCATCTACCTTCATTGTCTTTACTTAAGTATATAAATAATGGCTACATGTATTAAACATTAAATTACTTCAATTTCCTCTGAATAGTTGAGTAAATCTGGTGCTCCCAGATGACGACCGTGTTTATCTTGTGACTGTGAGAACCACCTTCCCCCTCTTGGCTGACTATGACCTCTCTGAGGGAAAGAACGGTTTCTTGTTTCTTTCTATATCCCCAATATCTAGCAGAGTGTTTGCACATAATCGATATCAATAAATGTCTGCGTTGAGTACATGTCTGTGTACCCTATTAGAGTGTATGATGTTTGTAAATATTTTACAGACTACAGAATGATAGTATGTTTACATTAGGAACATGCATTTATATTCCTGGCAAAGTATCTGTGTGAAAAAAATATGTACATAGTTTTGGTTGTTAACCTTTAATTGTTGATTTAGTTAGATGCCTGGGCCGTGCGCATATATGAGTTTGGATACAGGGCTCTATGTGGGCAGTGTCAAAGGGTTCTTTGATCTGAAATTTTCCTATGACTGGTATATTTAGACATTATATCTGGCTCCTTTTTGCATATTTTCATGGTTACTTTTTATATCTCCTATTTCTTTGACATTCTTTTAGTATCATATAATTTTAAATTTGATAATGTACTTATTTCATGGTAAATGTATACGGCTGATATATGCCTGATTCTGTACCTTGCTTCTTTTGGCACATAAGTTCACAAGTGGTGGGTTGTCTCTTGCATATCGTGATTTTTAATTGTGAATTCATGTTCCCTTGAGTTTTATCTGTGGATTTCTCTGAGGCCCGCTTTTAAAGTGCGTTTTTCCAGAGAGGTTTGTGCTTTCTTCCACCAGGTGCCTGGGACAATTTAAAATTGTAATTTGGGTTTTTCTGAGCCACATAGATGGTGTTAATTCTGGCCTTAAGCCAGTGTAATTCGGGCTCCTGGTTAGAATTTGCCCTTTTTTAAATCTCCAGTTCACCTAGATCCAAATCATGTAATGCAGACAAGTTTCTCTACTATTTCCCTTTATGTTTTTTCTCTATATACCCATGAAGATGTCACTATTTGGGGAATTTGAAATTCATAAGGGGATCTTTGACCTAATCCCCACAAACACTGACTCTAGCCTTGTTTCTTACCTCTCTACCTGGGTACCTGGCCCCATCCCTCTGGCTAAAACCAACCTGAAACTCTCACTAGGAAATGCAGATATCCCTAGGGCAAGCATGCAATGTGCAGGGGGAGGAGTCACTGACCTGTTGGGCATTTGTTTTTTCATCGATTTCAAATTCTGGAGACTTTGCCTTTCTTGTTTTCCGGAAGTATATCATTTGAAAATAATATTAAAATACTTTATTTTACATTAGGAGAAATTGGAGATCTCTACTCATCTCATTTGTTGGAAATAAACTCTTGTATGTTTTAAGTTTATTTATTTGAGGGGGAGAGAGAGAGAGAGAGAGACAGAGAGACAATGGAGGAGGGGCAGAGAGAGAGAGAGAGAGAGAGAGGGAGACAGAATCCCAAGCAGGCTTTGTGCTGTCAGTGCAGAGCGAACTCACAAACTGTGAGATCATGACCTGAGCTGAAACAAGAGTCAGACATGTAACTGGCTGAGCCACCCAGGCGCCCCGATAAGCTCTTAAATGTTTGCTGTGTGTGAGGTGTGCTATCGGCCCCCACACTGGAAAACATGATTATCCTTTTAGTAATGAAAATGGGATACACTCAACTATCCTTCCTTATCTAGATCTTCTGGTGGCAGGCATTTTTGTGGTGACTGAAATTCTTGGGGTGTCTGTGTTCTTTTCAATAACAAAGTGGTATTGGACTAGTGGGTCCTTATGGATCCTTCCAGCTGTAAATTTTTCTGACTCCATGACCCTGAACCACTACATTTCTTTCCTTTTTTTTCCTGCCTATTTTCATCTTCACAATGATTTGGCAAATGTCACCAACCCAGTTAACGAGTTAACCGTGCCTCATTCCAGGAAATTGTTCTATTTGTGGTTTTTCGTTTGTTTTGTTTTTTCCCCGTTTTGCCAATCTGTATTTATTGCCCAGTATTCCCATCTTTCAGAGATCACCCGGAATAAACGCATTCTGTGCTCCTCCCGCAGGTGGCTTCCCTCGGAGTCACTACCTTCACCTTATGTGCTCTGTGTATAGACCGCTTCCGAGCAGCCACCAACGTGCAGATGTACTATGAAATGATCGAGAATTGTTCTTCCACAACTGCCAAGCTTGCTGTTATATGGGTGGGTGCCCTACTGTTAGCACTTCCAGAAGTCGTTCTCCGCCAGCTGAGCAAGGAGGATTTGGGGTTTAGTGGCCGAGCTCCCGCGGAACGCTGCGTCATCAAGGTCTCCCCTGACTTACCGGACACCATCTACGTTCTAGCCCTTACCTATGACAGCGCAAGACTCTGGTGGTACTTCGGCTGTTACTTTTGTTTGCCCACACTTTTCACCATCACCTGCTCTTTAGTGACTGCGAGGAAAATCCGCAAAGCGGAGAAAGCCTGTACCCGAGGGAATAAGCGACAGATTCAGCTGGAAAGCCAGATGAACTGTACAGTGGTGGCTCTGACCATTTTGTATGGGTTTTGCATCATTCCTGAAAATATCTGCAACATCGTTACTGCCTACATGGCTACGGGGGTTTCCCAGCAGACCATGGACCTGCTTTACATCATCAGCCAGTTCCTTTTGTTCTTTAAGTCCTGTGTCACCCCTGTCCTCCTTTTCTGTCTTTGCAAACCCTTCAGTCGGGCCTTCATGGAGTGTTGCTGCTGTTGCTGTGATGAGTGCATTCAGAAGTCTTCAACAGTGACCAGCGACGACAATGACAACGAATACACCACAGAACTCGAACTCTCGCCTTTCAGTACCATCCGCCGCGAAATGTCCACTTTCGCTTCTGTTGGAACGCATTGCTGAAGAACAGCCTTTTCTTTGGTTAGATCTATGTGTTTGATTTTCATATCCTGTCAACGTTTTTACTTCATATTTTTCCCTACCGGGGAAAAATGCAATGAAAGAGAGAAATATTAACGACTGTAGAACTGATTTTGCAAATTAATATTTGTGCTTTGAAAAAAAAATGTTTATATTTAGTTATTTAAGACGTATGAGAAGGCCAATAGTTTTAGATCATTATATCTGGTATGGTGCTAATATTTTATTTGAAAAAAGTTACTGCACCTTAATTAATTACTAACTTTCTTTTAAAAATATAATCAGTGTATATTGATGATAGCCATGCGATTTTGTAGGTTATTTTATGTTTGAGTTGTGATTGACAGTATATTGTATATGGTATCGTGAGATGATTTGTAGTTAAGGAGCATTCACAAAGTAGCACCAAATAAATTATACTTTATTGTTTAATGTCATTGTCAATCTACTTTTAACCGAGATTCAATAAATCTTTTAATTGCCTTAAATACACAATTACTGGTTCTACGCACAATTTAAAGTCAGCCTTATTGCTTTAAAGTTCTATTTTCCTTTAAGGCAGGTAATCACTATGTTCTAAAGCAGTTTTCCTAATAGTACTATTTTATATGCATGATTCATATACAACTATATTGTATGTTCAAACAAAATTGTATTTTTAATATTCAGATACAGATGTAAAATTACTTCCAAGTATTTATAAAATGTGAATAGACAGCAGAGCAGGAAGAAAGTATCTTTTTTATCATTATTATTCACCTCTGAATTAGCATATAGAGCTATAGATTTTCCCGTTATGAATTATGAGCAGAATCTAGGACTAAAACATGATGCACCTGTCATCTGATTTCCTCTGAACACTGACCTTTGAAGCACTCTGAATTCTAACTTTTCTCCACTTAAAAAATGAACTTGGTTACATCTGTGTGATTTAATTTCTCGAAGTAGAATGAAAGTACAGTAGTAGGATAATAAAATATTTATATATCTTGATTTGAACACTTGAATATTCAAATTTATTTTGAATTGATATTCCATAAGCTTCCAACAAAAAACTAATCCTCTCCATTTGAATATTAGATTCCCCTCAGGAGTTTAAGCTCCGGCAGTTGTGTAGGATGACTGCCTGCCATGCAGGACACGTGTCTAAATCAGGTGGCAGAGACAGCGGCCTAGCGATAGATGTAACGTCTCTGTCTTCAGACAAAGCATAGAAGGGAAACCAATTTGCTGGCCAGAAACCACCCTCTGTTTTCAGCTTGTCAATTTCTGTACATTGAGCATAACCGAGCGGTGACTTCTTTCTTCCAGATTACAGCATGATGTTATTTAAATTGTTAAGCTTTAGTGTTAGAAAAATTAAAGATACTTAATCTAGACTGTTCATCTTCCAGATGACACTCAGATTAACTAAATGACAATGTCCAGAATATCTCCCTTTCCCTAGTCCAGTACTCTGTGAAGGGATTTCCACCCACCCCACTGCCCCACTATCTGTATTGTATGGAATTTGAGGGATTTGAGAATGAGAGAAAAAAAAAAAAAAGATACCATTGTCTTCTTATAGATCCCTGTAATAAATCTTTGGAAAACTTCTTGAGGACACCTAAACTAGGTTTGGCTACTGAGATCAACAATTGTGATTTCACAGTGTCTCTCCTGAGACTTAGTCAACTTTATAAATCAAGAAATACTGACTAGGTGGCTCAGTCAGTCAAGCATCCGACTCTTGGTTTGAGCTCAGATCTGGCAGTTCGCGGGATTGAGCTGTGCGGTGGGCTCTGTGCTGACAGTAAGGATCCTGCTTGGGATTCTCTCTCTCTCCCTCTGCCCCTCCCCTGCTCATGTTCTCACTCTCTTTCTCACTCCCTCTTTCTCTCAAAATAAATACATTTTTAAAAAGAGAGAAAAACTGAGAACATGATGTAGAAAATGTTCTATGTTATCACCTATAGTAAATAAAAGTAACCAGAGCTTAGTGTCAGATTTTCAAAATCAGGCAGGGGTGGCATGAGAAAGCAGAAATAAGACAAATGCGTGTACAATTATGGTTAAAGCTGGGACCTGCTAGGGAGGTGTAAAGGTCCATGATGGATCAGAAAAGAGAGAGAGAGCCCACCAGACTGGGAGAGATCGTGAAAGGCTGTGTAAGATAACTGGATGGATAGTCAGAAGTTTGATAAAAGTACTATGAGGAGTGAACACTCCAGGAGGAGGGAGCTGGTTAAAGAAAGGAAGAGAGAGAAAACTCGTGGGGTACGACTGAAGAATAAATGTTTGGTTTGGTCCGGTCTGGTTCCCATGCTATGTGTGCATAGAAGCCTCATGGAATATGCTGATGAAAATATGCACTGAGATCATATTATAAAAGGGTCATGCTTTGAAAGATGTTCAGACGGAGTCCTTCAGGAAATGTGGCTTGTTTTTTGAGCATTGGAAAAACATTGTCACAACTCTGTGGTAGGAAGATCAATTTGAAGACAATTTAAATGGGCTATTGAGTCTGAAAGTGAAAAAACAATTAGGAAAATATTATACAGGTTGGACTCCAATGGAGGCAGTTGGGACTCAAATTTCTTTTTTCCTGGTATCCTTGACTTTCAGTTGAAACATATGCCTTCTTATTGAATGCTATCTCTGTCAAAGTAGAAACTTTGATAACCACAATGAAGTCATCCCAAGGATGAAGTAGCTTGGAAGTTTTCTCATGGCCTTGATCACAGCTTTCTCATAAGAATTCCTACAGCATGCTTTTAAAAAAAAAAAATAACCTTTTTTGCTCTACTTCTTTCTAATCCAGATCCCGTCCCGTGTCTTCCCCCTCCTCAAATTTTCCTTAAGAAGAGAAATTCATGCATAAGATTAAGTCTACTAAAATTTTGATTGATCAGAAAACTCTACAAATGGTGTCTGAGCTACTGAACCAAATCAACTCTGTGGTTTCGGGATAGTCAATGAAACTCTCTTCAAAATATCTATGTCTGTATCTATATATCTAGATGTATGTCTATATAGATATAGATTATTCATTATATCTATTATATATCTATAACTGGATAGAATAATCAACTCAGCATTTCCTTGATAATTCACAATTCTGAAGACTTCAAATCTATGACTTCAAAAATCAACTCATTTACATTCAACTCAATGATCCTTTATTAAACCTCTTTATGCCTGGTGCTAGGCTAGGCAGTTGGAACACATAATTTAACTTCTTTTTTTTTTTTTTTTCATTTATTTTGAGATAGAGAGCTAGAGAGCATGAGTACGCATGAGTGGGGCAGGGGCAGAGAGAGAGAGAGAGAGAGAGAGGGAATCCCAAGCAGGCTCTGCACTACCAGCGTGGAGCTTGATGTGGGGCTTGAATTCACGAACCATGAGATTATGACCTGAGCCAAAGTCAGATGCTTGACCAACTGAGCCACCCAGGTGCCCCTAACATTCTTAACCTTAAGATCCTTGCAAATAAAATTTCGTGTGACAAGTGCAGCATGCATGAAGCACAGAGTGGATGGTGGGAAGCTGAAAGTGAACCAACTCCCTTTGAGAGCTCAGTGGTTGGGAGGAAAGAGATAGGAATGAAGGCTTCACAGAGGAGGAAGAGCAAATGAGCACTTCGTTCCATATTTCAGATCTAAGTGATTTACATCTGAATCCAGATGAATTTGTGTTTATTCTATGGACATGTAGATACTGTTTTTACAAATATATGCTTAATAATTCTGTTTTTTCATCATTTACTTTTTTCTCATAAAAGTGGAATTAGAATAAAGGTCCACTTCCTTAATAATTATGATAAGATTGATTTTTAGTGTGTTATAAAAAGTATGCAAGTGAAATTGAGTGCAGAGCATGGATGGGTGAAATAATGACTCTTCCATTATATCTCAATTCATTTATTCAACCAATGAATACCATTTATTCAACTTACTACTATATGTTAAGCACTGTTGTGAGTGCATATGCCATAGCTGTTAAAAAATTCTGAAGAAGCCCTCCCCTCTCTTGTTGAGAGAGACAGAAATTATACTAAATAAATGTTAAAGTATTATATACACATGGTATGTTTGATAATGAAAAGTAACATGGACAAAAGGAGTACCAGTGTAAGGAGGGATTAGGAAGAAGATGTTAGTGTAAAGGTGATATTAGAGTAAACAAGTTATATAGCCATCTGGGGGAAGAGCAGAGGGAATAGGTGAGGTGCAAAGGCTCTGAGGTAGACACATGCTTGATAGGTTTCGGGAATAGAAAGTGGCCAATGTGGCTCGAACAGATTGAGGGAGGGGAAGAGAAGTACCATATGAGATCAGAGAGCTGAAAGGATGCCAGATGATAAGCTATTGCAATGATTTTGCTGTTTATTCTGGGTAAGACTCCATTGGATGGTTTAGAGAGAGGACTGACTTGACTTTTTAAATAACATTTAGTTATTTAGTTTTAAAATTAAGATACATTTTTTATTAAGATATAAAGTACATTCACCCCTTTTAGCATATAGTCCTGAGCACATATCATCATGTAACCACCACCAAAAAGTATAGAACAGTTCTATCATTCTAGAAAGTTCTATAGTTCTATAGAACAGTTCTATCTTTCTAGAAAGTCTCCAAAGACACATGGAGGCATGTGTCTTTGTAGCCAACTCCTTATTTCACCCTCAGCCCACCTACTGATCTGTTTTCTGTCCTTATAATTTACCTTTTTCAGACTGTCATATAAATGGATTATACAATATATAGCTTTTGAGTCTTTGCGTAATATATTGGATATTCATCCATGTTGCTGTATCAGTAGTTTCTTTCTTTTTATTGTGAAGTAATATTTTATTGTATGGATGTATCACAGTGTATGCCTTTCCCAGTTAAGGGACATTTGCACTGTCTCCAGTTTCCAGTTTGTTATGAATAAAGTCACTATAAACATTGATGTATAGTTTTATATGTGGACATAAGTTTTCATATCTCTAGTAAACAGCT